AAAACATGGAAGCCATCTTTAACACCATCCCTTTTATCATTCCTCATATTCAACCCAATAGCAAGTAGTGTTGGATCTGTCTCCAGAATATCTTGAATGTGTCTGTTTTTCTCCATCCTCTCTGCCTAAACCCTCTAAGCCACCATTTCCTCTCACGTGCAGTGACTTCATGCAGTGACTCCATGCTGGTGACTTCATTTTTTTTTTTTCCCAAAAAAGTAATATTTTTTCAAAAAAAAAAAAATTTAAGTCATGTAGTGTCACTCTCTTCCTTCAGTAACTTCTCTTTTATTTTAGAAGAAAATCCAAATTCCTTACCTTTATCTGCAGAGTCCCACGTGATCTGGCCCTGCTTCTCCACCTTATCTCAAATCACTCCCTCCCACATTTCACTCTAAACACACTGTCATTCTTTCTGGCCTCCAACAGCCAAGCTCTTTCTTATCTTCAGGCCTCTGCATTTAACTACATTCACTATGCCTGGGAAACTCCAAATGTTAGTTGGCTGACTCCTTATCCAACCTTCAGGTTCTGGCTCAAAAGTCACTTTCTGCAGGCCTCATGCTATATCTGAAATGGTCATCATGTGTTATAATTTGTGTCTCTCCCCTACTAGAATTTCACTTTGAAAGAAGCCTTGTTTCTTTTTTTGTTCTCTATCTCCAGCACCTAGAATATTCCTTGCTAACTAGATATTTAGTTTAACAAATGAAAGAATGCCATCATCAGCAAAAAGTTAGGAATGAATCAAAAAGCGTTTTCATCTATCATGACTTCATTTCCAGACAGATACTTGGACTATCGGGTACCTGTATTTTTGCTTGAGTCACTGGTTCTCTTAAGTGGAAGATATTTCCTCCAATATAGCTTCATCATTTGAAAATGGACAGAAAGCATTCAGAATGTGAGCAGTTGTTCATTAATATTTGCCATAGTTTGATATGGTTCATTTACCTCCACCAAAATTTCATGTTGGAATTTGATCCCTGGTAGGGGTGTTGGGAGGTGGAGCCTCGTGGGAGGTATTTGGGTCATGGGAGCAGATCCCTCTTGAATGGCGTGGTGCCATTCTCACAATGGTGAGAGTTCTCACTCTCCTGAGACTGGATTGGATTTTGAGAGAATGGATTAGTTCCCAGGAGAGTGGGTTGTTGCCCCTGCGTCACATTTGACTTCCACCGTTATCTAACTCAACACAAAAACTCCCACCAGAACCTGAGCAGGTGCTGGTGCCATGCTTCATATGCAGCCTGCAGAACCATGAGCTAAATCACCCTCTTTTCTTTATAACCAGCATCAGGTGTTCTTTTATGGCAACACAAAATGGACTAAGACAATACTGTTAAGTTATATGCTTTGAGTCAAACAATATTTTGAATTCTACAGAATTCCTTCTTGTGAACCTAGCAGGTTTGGAGGTAGGATTTAAACCGCCCCCTTTGATGCATCTTATACTTCCATATGTTTAGATCACTGGTCCAGGGAGGTCAGGGAAGCTGAAGTTTGTGAACTGTCTCCTTGGAATAAACACAGATTCATGAGGATTATGTACTTAAAGTCTCCTAATGATTCATTTGCTCCTCCGCTTCTTCACACCCCTCAATGAGCTTCAGTCCTAGCTCAGTGTAGCTCTGGGTCCTATGCCTAGCAATGCACACTGCAGGGAGAACATCACAGAGCTGGGTGTGTGTGCCCAGGAGCTGCAGAAGAAACAGCTAGGTTGCTGTGATGTGAATGCTGGCCACCCAGGTAGAAACTCTGGGGCACAGTGGGCCACCAGGCTCACAAAGCCCATGTGAACAGCGGGCTCCTTCCGTGGTTAGTAATCTGCTCTAGCAGACTGCAGCAATGTGCTGCCATACTTTGTCCTCTGCTTGCCATGCTTAAGGTAACCATTCACCAACACATGGACACTCTTCAATTCTGGAAGCTCCCAAGTGCCATGTTCAATTCAGAAACCAGTAGAAAATCTTCAGCATGGGGTGTCCAGATAAATCATCTGGATACTGATCCCATCAGTAATAGAGATGAGTTGTCTTCTAAATGTGTGAATGATTGTTTCATAGAACCAAGAGTATGATGGTGTGAACCACAAGTACTTGATGGCAGATCTTCTAGCAAACACATAAATCAAGCTACATCAGTTCCATCAGTTCAGAGAAGATGTCACCACTGCTGTGTGTGTTGTCGGGGTGGGCTTACTGTTGGAACAACTCATTTTTCTCACATGTCAGTAGCTTAACACAATAAAGGTTTGTTTATTCTCATGTCACAGTCCAGTCAGGTCAATGGGGGTTCTGAAGGGGGTGGATGTCTTTGCTCCAAACAGGCCTCTGGGGATCCAGGCTTCTTCCTTCTAGTGCAGGGGTTCTTAACCTGGAATCCACAGGTCCCCAAAGGGGTTCACAGAATCCAAGGTCGGTGAACCTGCATGGGGGAAAATGTGTATCTTTATTTTCACCAACCTTTTAACCGTAATTTAACATTTCCTGTAATTATGATTTAAGGCATCAAGCCATGATAATGTTAGCACCACCTGTGACTTTAATACCAATCAAAATCATGGATATTTCATATCACATTACAATTTTAGTAAATATCATGAAATATCATTTATTAATAACACTACTTTAAAATTATGGTAGTTATTAGGCCCACTTCAAGGTCTTATTATTTACTGCATTAATTAGAGAGTGCATATATTGCCATGTTGCAAAACACTTTTTAAATTCGACTTTAGATTCAGGGGGTACATGTGCAGGTTTGTTACACGGGTATATTCGGTGATGCTGGGGTTTGGGATACAACTGAGCCTATTACCCAGGTAGTGAACATAATACCCAATAGGTCGTTTTTCAACACTTACCCCCTCCCTACTTCCCTCCTCTAGCAGTCCCTAATGTCTGTTATTTCCATCTTTATGTCCATGTGTACCCATTGTTTAACTCCCACTTAAAAGAGAACACATAGTATTTCCTTTTCTGTTTCCATATTAATTCACCTAGGATAATGGCCTCCAGCTGCATCCATTTTGCTGCAAGGGACATAATTTCATTCTTTTTCTTGGCTATGCAGTACTCCATGATGTAGGTGTACCACATTTTATCTGTTCATTCCACTGACACCTAGGTCAATTCCATGTCTTTGCTACTGTGAATAGTGCTGCGATGAGCATGCAAGTGCATGGGTCTTTTTGGTAGAATGATTTATTTTCTTTTGGGTATATACCCAGTAATGGGATTGCTGGGTCAAATGGTAGTTCTATGTTTAGTTCTTTGAGAAACCTCCAAACTGTCTTCCACAATAGCTGAACTAATTTACACTCCCATCAACAGGATATATCTCATTTCCTGCATCCATTATTTTTTACTTTTTGATAATAGCCATTCTGACTGGTGTGAGGTGGTATCTCATTGTGGTTTTGATTTGCATTTCTCTGATGATTAGTGATATTGAGCATTTTTTCCTTTTTTGTTTTTTTAGCCACTTGTATGTCTTCTTTGAGAAGCGTCTCTTCATGTCCTTTGACCACTTTTTAATGGGGTTAAAAAATATTTAATGTTTTTTTCTAGCTGTCTTTATAATTTTATGTATTTTACTTTAAACATTAAAAAACACTATTCTGAGAAAGATTCATAGGTTTCACCAGACTGCCAAAAGGGTTCATGGCAAACAAAAAATTAAGAACTCTGATCTAGTGGTTTTGCTGTCCCCTAATTAACCTTTGTGCCCTTTGCATCTAATCATCAGAGCAGGCTGGGGTGACACTGGGAAGCAGTTTATGGGAAAGGCTTAGAAGGAATGTGATTCACTTCTCCATCAGCCCTAATTCAGTGACGTGATGCCACTTGACTGCAAGGGAGGGAAACAAGGTCTAGCTGTGTACCCAGCAGGAAAAGGAAATGGGGCTTGGTGAACACATGGAAGTGGCTGTCACCATACCCAAAAGAACAGTCAGCAAAGAGGTGGCATCCCAATGACAAGGGACCTCCCTGGAGAAAACTCACTTTCTATAAAATTTACTCTCAGAAGCATAATCATAACCCAGCAATAGCTGCTATTGGTTGAATGATTATTCCTGTCAGCATTCTGTTAACCGATTCACTTCCATAATGTCGTTTAATCCTCATAATAATGCTGTGAGACAGGTACTATTATTATTCCTATTTTATAAGTAAGAGCACTGTGCGAACTTGCGAAATAAGCCCAAAGTCAGTGCTCTCAATCATGGTACTGAACTGTTTTGGAAAATACTGCCCCAGCCTGAGCAACATGGCAAAACTCTGTCTTTACCAAAAATACAAAAAATTAGCTGGGCATGGTGGCATGTACCTGTTGTCCCAACTACTTGGGAGGCTGAGGTGGGAGGATCGCTTGAGCCCAGGAGAGACAGAGGCTACAGTGAGCCACAATTGCGCCACTGCACTTCAGCCTGAGTGACAGAATGGGACCCCATCTCAAAAAAAAGGAAAAGAAAATACTGAGACCCTTGTTGAAGAAGGCAGAATTGTGTACTGGTGAGAGGATGCTTTCTGGAGCCAGAGTCCCTGGATTCGTATTTCAACTTTGCCAGTAGCTGGTTCATTGACCAGATGCTTACTACTGGAGCTTTTTATGCATCTGTAAAATGGAGATTAATATTAGTATCTGTCTTTTAGGATTAAAAGAGAGAAACACTTAAGGCTGCACCTGGCACATAGTAAGTGCTCAGTGAATGTTATCCACTGTTTTTGACAGCCGAAATGGCCCTGTGACTACCTTCGTGAACATGATCTGAAATATTCCAGCAGAGCTCATTTCTCATGAAGGATATGAGGAAATAACTGAGGTCACCAAGATACTCACAAACCTGGGGGTACCTACAACAGTGTGTTGAGTTATAGTCAAGAAGCTGGAGATGCTATTACTTTTCTAATGAGGGAAAAAATACGTGTTGGGATGACAGAAAATGTTTTAGAAAATAGTTTCCATTTTACTATCACTGTCTCTCCCCTTTACAGAATTCTATGAAGGTGATGTTCAAATGCCTCTGGAAAAACTGTGGGAAGGTGCTGAGCACTGCTGCAGGTATCCAGAAACACATCCGGACCATCCATCTGGGGTAAGGCAGCCCTCTCTTCAGGGATGTGGCCTCTATCTGCTCAGTCTAGGGTTACCCACACTCAGAAATTGCACACCACACGGTGCCTTAAAGGTTCTAGACACTGGGCTGGCTTTGTCTTCCTAATCTCTAGAGAGATAGCCACTCCAGATGATCTAAGCCAGCATGGCACAATGGAAAGAACAAGGATTTAACAGCCTAGAGCCCAATTGGTTCACTTACTGAGTCACTTTAGGCAAGCTGCTACCCTGAGCCCCAGTTCCGTATGGAAATATATAATAATGTCAGCTCTTCAAGTGTGAGCACCAAAGATAAAATGTATGTGAGAGAGAATTGTAAAGTACAAAACACTAGGGTAACCTAGAATCTGTGATTGGACTTCAAGGGGTCCTTGAACCCACTAGAATTACCTGTGGAATCATTTGTTTTCCAGTGGAGAGTATTCATGTCTTTAGGCATATATAGCCTAAAAAGGATTCAAGAATCATCACACCAATCGATGCTACTATTCCTATTCTTATGATGCCTGACTATCTGGCTCAGTCGCTTTCTATTGCTCAAATAAGTCCTTTGTAAAATCTATACTTTTCCTCATATTATATAACCACCTTCTAAAGGAAAAATAAAATGAAGGTTTAGGAGCCATAGCAGTTACAGGTCACCCCAGGGGGCAGTGGTATTCCATCAGTCTTGTGCTTTTTCCCTAAGTCTATCTTGTCCAGGGATCTGTGATTTAGAAGGGACCTTGAGAGGCTGTAAGTCACAACCAGTGTTCATAAGGCAAACACAAATGCGCCGCCAGGCTCCCATGTGCTTGGACACAGATGAGTACTCTCCACAAGATAAATGCAGAGAAATAAGTGCAACGGTCACTTTACCCAGCAAGGAATACATTTAGAAAATGCATCATGCAGGCCGGGCGCGGTGGCTTATGCCCGCAATCTCAGCACTTTGGGAGGCCGAGGCAGGCGGATCATCTGAGGTCGGGAGTTCAAGATCAACCTGACCAACATAGAGAAACCCCATCTCTACTAAAAAATATAAAATTAGCTGGGTGAGGTGGCGTATGCCTGTAGTCCCAGCTACTTGGGAGGCTGAGGCTAGAGAATCATTTGAACCTGGGAGGCGGAGGTTGCAGCGAGCAGAGATCGCACCATTGCACTCCAGCCTGGGCAACAGAAACGAGGCTCCATCTCAGAAAACAAACAAAAAAAAGAATATGCATCATGCCCAACAAGTGGTATAGGCAGAAGGTAAAAATAACTTCTAGGGTGATGTTGCCAATCTACGAGGGTGGCTCCACAGTGACCACGGAGAGAAACAGGGATCCAGCTCTACTCATCCAGGCTGATGTATGGGGACACACCAGAGCCTTCCAAAGCATATTACCCATAGGTCACCAGGCACTGGGGAGATGGCCCGGTAGAGCTTCTCTGGCCAGAGTCTACCTTATGTCTAAGAAATACCAATCGAAATACCTGAGGGCAAAACACCCTCCCTCTGGTCCTCAAGGCTTCAGGGAAGGAAATCCTGCAGTGTCTCCCCTGAAATCTTACTGTCAAGACAATTCACAATGTAAGCAGCTCAGTTTTTTAAAGGTTTAGAAAGAACTTCTCAAAGCTATAGGCAGGAGGTAAGGTATTTGTTTTAAAGTCTGTCTGCCCAGAAAATGGAGTCCTATTCAGCCCCATCAGAAGCACATGCTGTATATCTGTATTTATAGACCCTGTAAGTGGTATCACATTAGTCCTGTGAGCTTCTGGGGTGCCCTCACAGTGGGTGGATTCCAAAATGCAACCACTTTATTTGCTTTCCTAGGATTCCCTTTTTCCTAATGTGGTTTTAGAATTTCCCTGGTGAATTATGGTTGACAGCCTGCCAGGCACCACACAGGAATGGGCCTGTGTTAGCAGGACTCCAATGCCAATCTATGTTTATGAAGCCTGGAGCCTGTGCTTTGTCATGCAGTAGGGGAGAGAACACACCTTTGCCTTAATCCATGAGCTCAATGACGTGGCTATAGGATGATGGGACATTTTTAATGAGTATTGGCTGGTGAGGAAATGAGGAGGGAAACATGCCTAAGCCGGAAGAAAATAGGCCCTCGCCTCTGATGTATCTGCAGTGCACACCATGCCTGTATAAAAAGCACACACTTTTCTCTTCAGTCTCACTCCATTCTTGTACACCAGAGGCTGGTCCTGATTTATCCCCACGTGGGACACACAATGTGCCCCAGGCCTGTGTGTCTATTAGGAGCACTTGGCAGCCAGCAGCAACTCAGCCTGCCTTTAACTGGAAAGGAAGTGGGGACAGGAATAGAACAGACACTCGTTCTTCTTCCCACTCTCTGGGGTCTTTAATGGTATGCTGGTCACAAGGCCAAGCCCAGACAGACCTGATAACGATGAAAAGACACCTCCCCAGTCACCTCAGCCTGGGAGCTCAGGGGAAATGGGGCTGGTCTAGGACAAGCCACTGATTTGAACAAACAGACCTGGGAAGAGGTGAGGTGTAGATTTTTATGTTAGGTTCTCTGCAGAGCTCATTAGTGGGGAAAAGGTATGTTCTGAGTCAGTGATCTGCTGCTGCAGTGAGGGGACACCCGTTCCCTCTGCCCAGCCATCCCGGAAAACCAGGTTTCAAGAGAAGAAAAGCACAACTTCTCTACAAACTCAGGAATCATCGAATACACATTTTCTGACATTATGGAGAATTATTTTATTTTACTCCAAAACTTTCTGTGGAAAAGTACAATGTTCTATGTTTCAGGGAGAGGAACTGTGAGAACACCTAAGAAGCTACTTTCCCTGGTGATGGTAAAAATTAAGACCTTCTAACACAGTTTTATTTTTGTTTAATAAGCACTTTACATAGTGTTTATATTGTGTCAGTTCCTCTTCTAAGCACCCTGTATTTATTAGCTTAATTGTCACAATAATCAAGTACTATAATTAATTATCCCCATTTTATAAGTGGGGAAACTGAGGAACAGGGGCTACATGTAGGCTGCCAAAATCACACACACAACTAGAATGTGTAGGAGTCAGGGTTTGAACCTAAGAAGTCTGACTCCAAAATCCATTCTCTTTATCAATGTGCTGCAGCCACCTCAGCTCCATTCATTCACTCATTCACTCATTCATTCAGGCAATATTTACTAGGTACCTACCCTACCCTCTGCCAAATACACCGATATGTGTGGAGTGACATAGGATGAACAAAACACAACCCTAAAGAATCAGTCACAGTGAGGCAACAAAGAGGTTTAAAAAAATGCAGACAGGTACCCAGTTCTGAAAACCCCCAGTGGCTTCCACCACATTCGAATGCAAGCCAAAGCCATCGCCATGGGCCACAGGCCCTGGATGTCCTTGCCTCTGCCTGTCACTCTCTGGTGTCCCGAGCTCTAGCCTCTGGCCTCTGTGCCAGGCCTGCCCATCTGAGGGCTCTGTGTCACTCCTCCCTGGTGTGTCCTCCCCACAGGTTCCACCATGGTCTCTCCCCAACTTCAACCAGGCAGGTCTCTGCTCAGACAGCACCTCCTCAGAGAGGCTTCCTCTGGCCACTCTATTTAAAATAGCACCCACCATCACTGATCCTGCTTAACAACTGTTATGCTGCTGAGTTTTTCTTTCTAGGACTTGGTAACACCTGATATATTAAATATCTATTTCTTTTTTCAATTTTTTTAAAATTTTTTCATCTCTTTTTATTTTCATAGATTGAAGGGTACAAGTGCGGTTTTGTTACCTGGCTGTGTTGCACCACAGGGTTGAAGTCTGGGCTTCTAGTCTAACCAGCACCCAAATAGTCAACGTGGTACCCCGTAGGTCATTTCTCATCTCTGCCTCCCTCCCACTCTCCCCCTTTCGAAGTCTCTAATGTCTATTATTTCACTTTCTCTGTCCATGGATATACATTATTTAGCTCCCACTTATTAAATATCTCTTTATTTATGGGTTTCTTGTCTGCCTGTAAGTTCCCACTATAAGTTCTATCAGGGCAGAGTCTATATTTTCATTATATTTAATATAAAATACATATATTGTTATCAGGAGACCCTGGAACGGTGCCTGTACATAGATTTTCAGTAAATCATTGATGAATAATTGAATGAGTGAATGAATTAATGAATTAATTGCTTTAAGACATCAAGGAAGGGTTCCCTGGAAGTAGACATTGGGAACTGAGTGCTGCAGGATATGTAAGAGTTTGCAAGGCAGACAAGAGGGAAGAAAAGAATTCCAGACAGAGGGGGAAAGTATGTGCAAGATTTCAAGACAAGAAAACACTCAGACTGGCTTAGTATGATTGTGTTACTCTCTTTTGCATTAGGCGTGTTGGGGATTCTGACTACAGTGATGGAGAAGAGGACTTTTACTACACTGAGATCAAGCTCAACACAGACTCAGTGGCAGACGGGCTGAGCAGCCTGGCCCCAGTCTCACCTTCCCAGTCCCTGGCTTCGCCTCCTACTTTCCCCATCCCAGACTCAAGCCGAACAGAAACTCCTTGTGCCAAAACGGAGACTAAGCTGATGACGCCCTTGAGCCGCTCAGCTCCCACCACCCTCTACCTCGTGCACACTGACCATGCTTACCAGGTGATTTGCAGGGGACTGTGAGAGCAATCAATCACTTTGACCTTGAGCAAAACCAGTGGCCATCTGGCCTATGAGTAAAAGATTACTTGGTGGAAAAACAGCATCACACACAGCAGCCCGGTAGCTTTGTTTCTTTTTTTCTCCCTTCAAAGCCAAGAACTCACACAGATGGGGTCCTATGGTCTAGTCTCAGATTGTTCAGTGCTGCCTGCAGATTCCATCCCATAGAGGCAGTTATGATGATAAAAATCCCTCATGTTACAGAGCCCTCAAAATGGTGCCTGGCACATTACATAATTACCTATTTTTTTTAAATAAGGCCAGGCACAGTGGCTCGTGCCTGTAATCCCAGCACTTTGGGAGGCCAAGGTAAGTGGATCGCTTGAATTCAGGAGTTCTAGATTAGCCTGGGCAACATGGTGAGACCCCATATCTACAAAAAATACAAAAATTAGCCAGGCATGGTGGTACGTGCCTGTAGTCCCAGCTATTTGGGAGGCTTAGGTGGGAGGATCACCTGAGCCCAGGGAGGTTGAAGCTGCAGTGAGCTGTGACCACTGCACTCCAGCCTGGGTGACAGAGTAAGACCCTGTCTCAAAAAAAATAAATAAAAAGTAAGCATTGGAAAGCTTTGGCACAATGGCAGAATCATACTCCAAATCTGGGACTTCATGCCCTGCCTTCTAAATGGATAATTAAGCATCTTAGAGTAGTGGTTCTCAATGTTCTGCAAATCAACAGTGCCAGCATCACCTGGGAACTTGTTAGAAATGTAAATTCTTGGGACCACCCCTTACCCTCCTCTGTCCCCTCCCACCAACTCTGTGTTCTAACAGGCCCTCCAGGGAATCCTGAGTCATGCTAAAGTCTGACAAGACCTTAGGGACAAAGCCTGCAAATTTAGGACATAGGTAAAACTCCTTTTTTTCCCCCAGAAATTACTTTTTTTTTTTTTGACACGGGGTCTCACTGTTTCTCTCAGGCTGGAGTGCAGTTCACTGCAGTCTCCAGTTCCTGGGCTCAAGCAATTCTCCTGCCTTGGCCTTCCAAGTACCTGGGACTACAGGTGTGCACTACCACATCCAGCTAATTATTTAAATTTTTTTGTAGAGACGAGTTCTCACTATGTTGCCTAGGCTGGTCTCAAACTCCTGTCCTCAAGCAATCCTCCACACTGACCTCCCAAAGCACTGATTATAGGAGACACCATACCTGGCTATTAACTCTTTTAAATGTTGATTCGTTTTTATACAATGTTAATACATTCAAGTTTAAAAAAATATTTTCACCATAATTCTCAACTACCTTATTGAACTTTTTAAAATCTCCTTTACATACTTGTAATTATGTTCTCCCACCCTTGTTTTATAAAAACTTTCCATTTAACTAAATAATATCCAATTAAATTGAAACACCAGATTGTTTTAATCATTCTTATTGTTAGATGTTTACTTTTTAATCTATTCTATTTTTCATCATTAATAACTCCACTGTAAACATCTCTGTGCCTGTAGTATTTATTTTTTCTTTAAATTCTCAGAAGAATAATTATTGAGTCAGAGGATATAATATGAATGAATAGTTTGTGGCTCTTTCCAGTATACCAGTTGCAAAGCCACTGCCACTAGCAAATATTTGTAATCAGAAAATTACACCTATAGAGGAAAAATTTAGCCACATTTAGCAGACTTAAACTCAAGAGTAATGGAATAGAGCTAATATTTGAATTCCATAATAAATTTCATTCCTCTTATTATGTTGATCAAAACGAATAATTCATTCATCTTTATCACCATTGCGCTTAAGTTAGAAATCACAGGAACCAACTTAGTTAAATCATTTTGCTCATCTATTTAATGAGAAAGTTGGAATACACACTAGTTGATCCACAAGGTCCTTCCCAAAGCATAAACTTACAAATATTGAGACTTTTCTGTTTATAGAAATTATAAATGTTCAGCATAGAAAATATTAAACACAGTAAGGAAAGAAAATTAATTCCTAATTCCATTGACCCGAGAGCCCTTTGGTTAATAGTTTTTGTATGTACTTTAAGACTTTGTGCTGTGTTTTTATATATACGGTTTTTTAAAGGGATCTGTTGCAGAACTGTTTTTACTGTATTTTTTCTGTTTAATATATCATGAACATTTTCCCATGCCAGTGAATCTTCTTCAACAACAGCATTTTAAAAATTGATGCCTAATATTTATACATATTTGTGGGGCACACATAACATTTTGTTATATGCATAGGATGTGTAATAATCAAATCAGGGTATTTTGAATATTAATCACCTTCTGCTTTTATCATTTCTGTGAGTTGGGAACATTTCCAGTCCTCTCTTCTAGCTATTTTGAAATATAAAAATACATTGTTGTTACCTATAGTCACCCTACTCTGCTATCAAACATTAGTTCTTACCCTATCTGTTTGTACCGACTTAACCAACATCTTTTCCCTCCTTGGCCCATCACACCCTTCCCCACCTCCCGTAACTATCATTTTATTCTCTACCTCCATGACATTAATTATTCTAGTTCCCATGTATGACTGAGAACATTTGTCTTTATGTGCCTCGCTTATTTCACCTACCGTAATGACTTCTAGTTCCATTCATATGGCTGCAAATGATAGAATATCATTGGTTTTCATGGCTGAGTAGTATTCCATTGTGTTCTTCTTACCACATTTTGTTACTTCATCTGTTGATGGACTCTCAGGTTGATTCCATGTTATCTTTGCTATTGTGAATAGTGCCACAGTAAACTGAGAGTGCAGGTATCCCTTTGATACATTGATTTCCTTTCCTTTAGATAAATATCCAGTAATGAGGATTGCTAGATTATATGGTAGTTCTGTTTTTAGATTTTCAGAAATCTCCATACTGTTTTCCATAATAGGTGTAGTAATTTACATTCTCACCAATAGTATATGAAAGATCCCTTTTCTCTGCTTCCTCACCAGCATCTGTTATATTTCATCTTTTTAATAATAGCCAATCTGACTAGGGTGAGATGATACCTCATTGTGGTTTTGATAAGCATTTTTCTGATATTAGAGATGTTGAGCATTTTTTGATGTATCTATTGGTCATTTGTATGTCTTCTTTTCAAAAAGTTTTATTTGGGTCCTTTGCCCACTTTTTAAAGGAATTATTTGGTTTTGCTATTGAGTTGTTAGTAGTCTCTTGTCAGATGAATAGTTTATGAATATTTTCTCCCCTTCAATACGTTGTCTCTTCACTCTGTTGTTTGTGTTGTGCAGCTTTTTAGTTTAATATAGTCACATTTGTCTATTTTTGTTTTTGTCTCCTATGCTTTTGAAGTCTTAGCCGTAAAAATATTCTGGAGTGTTTTTCTTGTGTTTTCTTCCAGTAGTTTTATAGTTTAGGGTCTTACATTTACGTCTTTAATCCATTTTGAGTTGATGTTTGTAAATGACAAGAGCTAGGGGTCTAGTTTCACGTGTTTGCATGTGGACATCCAGTTTTCCCAGCAGCATTTATTGAAGAGGTTGCCCTTTCCCAGTGTATGTTCTCATTACCGTGGTCAAAAATCAGTTGGCTGTAAATATGTGGACTTATTTCTTGGTTCCCTGTTCTGTTCCACATTTTATATATGCGTCTGTTTTTATGCCATTTTAACAACATTTTGAATGACTCTGTAGGTATATCATGATTTATATACCTACTTCCCTATTACTGGGCATTTGTGTTGTTTCCAGTTTTTTGTTTGTTTGTTTTTTGAGACAAGGTTTCATTCTGTTGCCAGGCTGGAGTGCAGTGGCATGATCATAGTTCACTGCAAACTTGAACTCCCGGGCTCACATAATCTTCCTACCTCAGTCTCTCAAGTAGGTGGAGCTACAGGCACACACCACCAAACCTGGCTAATTTTTTAATTTTTAATAGAGTCAGAGTCTCACTGTGTTGCCCTCGCTGGTCTCTAATTCTGGGCTCAAGCGATCCTCCTCCTTCTGACTCTTAAAGGAATTACAGGCATAAGCCACCACGCCCAGCCCCAATTCTTTTTTACAATATATTGTTGTGCAATGAACATTCTTATGTACATTTCTTTAGAATGAATTCCTAGAAGTGAAATAGCTAACACCCAGAATGCTAAGAATTTTGATATATATTGCCAAATTACCTCCCAAGAACACTGTACCAGTTTACACCCACCCTCACAGTATAGCACTATTTCCCAATTTTATAGTGAAGAATTGTATTTCACAGGTATCCCAAAATAGGTATATGTATATATAATAAAATTTCTTTTCAGAAATCAGCAGTCAAAAACCATCTCTTTTTATACCTTAGATAGCTTGCTTAGGTATATATACGAAGTTTATTTCTGGCTACTCCCTTTAACCTTGTTTAATCTCTTCCTGATAGATAATTAGTCTAAGTTATTAATATAGCTGAGACCATTTCTGAGGTCCTCCTTTGGTAATAAGAGTTTAAGTCTCTGAAGGAAAACATTTCTTCATAACAGCTTTCTCTGTTTTTTATTTGACAGGCCACACCCCCTGTGACCATTCCAGGATCAGCCAAGTTCACCCCCAATGGCAGCAGCTTCAGCATTTCCTGGCAATCTCCTCCGGTCACTTTCACAGGCATTCCAGTAAGTAGGAAAAAAAAAAAAAGCCAAAAATCTCTTCAAAGCCAATATAGAATAAATTTAGAGATCATATAGTAGAGGCATGCAAGAAAAATACAAACTGATATCAGAGTGCCAGAAGTAGTATATTTCTTATGTGATATTTGTAAACTCATCAGCAGGTATCACTTCTCTGCAAAAAGGTATTTTGACTGGTGTTTCAGAAAACTAGGAGTTTTAATGGTTCATAAACAACTTGTTGGAAATATATCAAGATTTTTTGTGTGTTGATAGTGTATTTGTTTCCAAAAGACTATAAAATTAATAGCTGAACTCAGATCTTGTATGGAAAAAATGGTGTTTATCATTATAAGTAACTATAAAATGTATTACTTAGGAAATATTGTTCTGTATGTATATGATTTTAAAGGCTCAAACAAATACATTAAAATCATTTCTTCTTTCAAAGTCTGAATAATCCATGCTGATGGATAATCTGAAAATAAATGAGAGTGCTGAAATATGCAATCAGAATTAAGTAGGACATAAGAATTGATTTGACATGCTAAATGATTCATGTCTGATAAATCACTGTGAATTAACTTGATTCCTAACCATTCATTTAAAAATATATTGGGTTTTTTATAGTTTATCACAAATAGCCGTAGACATGCACACTGTTGACGTTCACAGTGGTGTATAACTCCTGATGAGGTTCGGGAAGTGGCTTATGATAACAGATATTAACCTTATTTTCTCTTCTCCACCCCCTCCCCAAGGACCTCACAAAAGCTTCTTATTGTCAACCACTGGCAACTCCCAGAGGTTTCCAGCAAAGTCTTAAGCCTTCTGTGGAGCTGATAAAAATGAAAGTGGCTGAATGAATTATGCTGTGCTCTGACGATGAATATTTATTAAATTCCATAGAGGAATAGCCAACAATAAAAAGCATACTGCTGGAAGCAATTTGGGAAATGGTGACTTCCAGAAAAGACTCTGGGAATGTGATTTGTAAACAATACCATGGGTCTGGAGTCATTTTTAAAGTTGTATTTTCATTGAATAGTGTAACTTCCAGTAGCTCTGCAAGAGTGATCTTGTTAGGAGACATTAGAAGAGAGCAGCTTAGACGTGTCAGTATTAGTTTTGCTTCTGGCAAGAACACTGATCCACTGATGTGGGTGTCAGAGGTTAACAATCTGTCTGTTTGGGGCCTTTTTTTGGGTAGACATAAAAAGCCCCAGAGTGCCTCTTGATATCACTTTCGAGACAGCCTCTCTGTATTAACCTAAAATGGCAGCCACAGTTAAAGAATTATTGAGACCATCTATTCTGCATCCTATTAATTCATTCCTTTGACTTGGGAAGAATTTTCCATGGTGTATGGGAAGCATACACCATGTTGCTCATCTGGTACTATAGCATGTATATAAAACAGCCCAGTTCAGACCTCTTTCAGACTACCTGTGACCAAGCTGGAATGTTTTTCCCCTTTGCTTTTCTAATTAAATTTTCTTCTGAAGTATAGGGAAATCACTTGGAGGGGGCTATTTACTAGCTGTATGTCCTCCATGGTTCTTATATGTCTTACACAGTAGGATACCAGCCAGGATACCTTGTATCATTTGTTTTTCAACAATGGAATGTTAAAAATCTGCTACGGACACTGTATATTTCTACTCTCATTTCAGTGCCCTTCATTTTTTTTCAGAATCCTTCATTTCACTCTGCGTTGGTTACCCGGGACATTCTAGACAGAAGGTTTGACAGAAAGTATATACCTATGATATATAAAATATTCCGTAGCTGGGTTAAGTAGGTATTCCACTAAAATCCTATGTGAGCTTTTTTTTTTTTTCTTCCCTGAGACAGGGTCTCAGTCCATAACCAAGGCTAGAGCACAGTGGTGCCATCACGGCTCACTGCAGCCTCAACCTCCCTGGGGTCAGGTCATCTTCCCCACTTCAGCCTCCTGAGTAGCTGGGACTACAGATGTACACCATCACGCCTGGCTAATTTTTGAATTTTTAGTAGAGATGGGGTTTTCCCATGTGGCCCTGGCTGGTCTTGAACTCCTGAGCTCAAGCAATCCGCCCACCTCAGCCTCCCAAAGTGCTGGGATTATGGGCCTGAGCCACTACGCCCGGCTGAAAGCTTCTAATTTATTTTTTCACCAGAGAATTCCCAATCTTGCTGATTGTGTAACCAGTTTCAGCAGAGACTTCAGATTGATTTTAGCAGTCAAGCTTGCCATTCCTATTTAAAGATAAAATAAAGGTGGGGTAGGCTTTTTACTCTAGGAAGACAAGAAGGTTACAACTGTCGTCAGGTGGGATAATCCTTACCTGTTCCTCCTTTGGAGGGGAGATTCATGAAACGTGATTAATGTCTCTGCGTAATCAGGACTTGCAACACCCTGATTGCTCCTATCTGATTTAAAAAAAAAAAAAAAAAAAAGGCTACAACTAAGAATGTTCTTTATGTTGCTAAACTCTCTGGCCATGCTTTAAAAAAACATAATAAACAGGTGCTTGCTGTCCTTCTCCTCCTCCTGGTGGGCTAGCTCTCATGACAGCCCACCCACACAGATGCAGGACTGTTGCACACCCATGGACAGGGTGCCAGCAACTGTCCCTGAATGCCCCAGGAGTGCCAGTCCGGCCCCTAGAAGATGGCAAGCCAGGTGGAATTTAAGAATATGTAAATTCTTACCCTCTAAATTGGTCTAATAGGGTTTTCAGACCAAATCTCTAAAGTTGTAAGTTATAATGAATTTGTATTAATGGTGGCTTCAATTGTATCCAAACTGAAGAATAGAGAAGTTTGCATGTTTTAAAATGCTTTTCAAAAAAAATACCTTTTTCCTTGTACTCCAAAAAAATACCCTGAGGTTGTCAACTGTTTAGAGTTTACTTTTCTGCCACATCTTTGAGACTTGATATTGAAGATGGATGCTTCTGTACACTTCCTAGAAAGTGGGAAAAATCCCTTTCTGAAAAATCCCAAGGGTTGCAGGTTTTTATTTATTCATTTGTCTATGCTAGATTTCCTGAACATTGGGTTTTAATAAGTTCCCTGGGTAAGACCTCTTCCTGGAGGTTTGTAGTGGAGAAAGCTGAACTGCATATTTAACAAATGTAACTGGAAGTTGTCTTTTGTAGCCTAAGGCTGTGAGGAGAAGGGTTGGAAAGAGAACATCCTTAATTACAACTTTCTTTGACATGTTTTTCCCTAATGACCTGCCTTTTCTCCTAATTATCTACATTTCTTTCTCTAGTTTCATGACAGAAAACTAAGAGCTTTTGGCCCCTTTATTAATCAGCTCAAGGCTGCCATAAAATACCATAGACTTGATAGCTTAAACAACAGAAATTTATTTCCTCACAGTTCTAGAGGTGTTGGCCAATTCAGTTCTGGTGAAGACCTCTTCCTGCTTGTAGATGGCTGCCTTCTCACTGTGCATGCACGGTCGAGAGAGAGAGAGAGAGAGAGAGGGAGAGAGAGAGAGAGAGAGAGAGAGCGAGCCAGCCAGCCAGGGAGAGTGAGTATGGAGAAGGAGAGCAGCAGCCTCTGCTATCCTTATAATTATTAGTGTCCTTATAATGTTTTTATAAGGACACTAATCACGTTGGATCAGGGCCCCACCCTTATGACCTCATTTAACCTTAATGACCTCCTTAAAGGCCCTGTGTCAAAGTACACCCACACTGGGGATTAGAGCTTCATCATATGAATTTGAAGGACACAAAAATTCGATCTGTAACAGCCACTAAGCAAGCAAGTATGAGCTAGTCAACCTGCTATCCAAGAGCCGTTCTAGAAGGCTTCAGGCTGTCGGGGAGGATCTCCAAAGATGAAACAGCAGAGCTTAATTGTCAAATGCTTAGCTGGTTTGAGGTTTCTTTTTTAATGCCTTGAGAGAAGGTTCAGAATTATATGAGGTTAAAACCAAGCCAGAGGCCTTTCTTCCCCCTCTTAAGAAAAAATTACAAGAAATTTCTCCTGCATATTTACAGAAGGGCATAGCGTCTCTAGTGTGAGACTTACTTGCAAATCCTGGCTCTGGCATTTGTGAATGCCATGTGACCCTTCCAGAGTAATATCCTCCATTCTAGTACTACTTTACTGAGTTGTGTCATTCACCCAGTGTCTGGCATGTGGTTGACATTGCAGATCTCTTACCATCATTGCTCCCTTTACTGGGTCTCAGCACTGTATAACAGGGGTCAGGGAAAGTGGTTCCACCTGTTTAGAATTGATTCCTGTAACACAGATATACTCAACACATGGGAGAGATTAGCCACATTTTTATAGACTATAATTTAGAATTCTTCAGACTCTTCTGAGGCCACACTTAACCAGTAGACAAACTATGGACATATAGCCCAATAATTTTATTTAATTAGAAATATTATCATATTGTACTATCCAAATACATTATATGCTTTATAAAACATGCCACAAAATAGAACTTAGAAATGGTTAAGAAATAAATTGAAATGCAGAGACCACTAGAAAAGAGAGTATTTGCTTTATGGAGCTTTATTTTAGGACACACATCACTTCCACCAATGATGTGGCAGGTTGGAAGAGTGCAAAAAGCAGGGCTTTGACGTCATTCAGAAGTGAGTCCAAGGCCAGCTATGTTCATGTCAGACAACGGTGTTCAAATCCTGAGTCCACTGTTCACTAACTGTATAGCCTGGACAGTGCACTTAACTTCTCCATTTCCTCATCTATAAAATGAAAATAATGGCTATGACAGGGCAGTTGTGAAGATTAAAATAACATATGGAAGACACTTAGCTTATATAGCAGGCTCTCAGCAAATTACGTCTGCTACTTTTACCTCTGGGATGCTCTGCAGGACAGTTCCCTCCTCAAAAACTAAATTTCTCTATCTGTAAGATACAGATATAGATCGTTTATTTTGCAAGCTTGCTGTGAGAATTCAGAGAGATATCTACTTGCCTGTCTTCCACATTTGCAAGCACTGAATAAATGGTAGGTGACTGCCCCAGTTA